GGAAACACTTTTATTCCTCAAGCACTTCAGTTATTTTTATCCTAAGACTTTGAAAAATGTTATTGTTTTTGCTGTTTTATTCTAACTGAAATTTATCAATTGATTGATAAACTGTGAACCAAGATGGTGTTCATATAATTAAGAATGATAATCAGAATGAAGGCTAGAATATGAAACTTTACAAATATATATAGTATATATGCTTTCTTTTTGCTTTTTATACATTGTAGCTGGCTTGAAAGGATAGTTTTTGATAGAGGAGAAGTAACAATATTTAATATATACCTGTAAATAAGTGTAAATAAGTGAAAAACATACATTTTATCCAATTATCCTCCTCATGTGATAGCAGCTTCCTGTAAGCAATTACATTCTTCACAAGAGTAGAGAGAATGTCTGAAAAGAAATGCTACTGACTTCTTTAAAGTGACATATTGTGGACCAAGGCATTCATAGAATGGATCCCAATTGATAAAAAGCATCCATGAAAGATGGATTGACAACATCAGCAAGTATTATGGGCCCAATTAGCAAAAAAAAGCTCAGGACCATATTGGTTGGAAACATGCAGAAGAGGCCTTCATCCTGCAGTGGATAGTCAATGGCTAAAATGATGGTGATGATTTGGATTATAGGAATTCTTCAGCACCCTGGAAGAAGTCACCATAGCAATATTTCTCTTTTTTAAAAAAAACCATACAATATTTATGGTATTTGAAATAGAAATTTTTAATTAATTCAACCAAAGATTTCATTAGTTAATTACATGTTTACTTTTTCTATATTTTAGGTGCAGTTATAGCTTTGTCTTCGGCAATATAATCATTTGAAAATGACATGTTTATCACTGAGTCCCTGGATTTTGCCAAGAAATCATAAAAAGCAATGTTTATCTAAAATAGCTTTGCTGATTTAAAACGAAGGAAAAATTATCATTAATTATAGAGAACTGGTTTGGAAAAAGGGTATCCAGAATAAAAATGTATTTAATATCATCTAATTATAATTATAATGAAAAAATACACTAAGAGAACACCATTGTGTGAAAACACATGCATTTTATTGAATTTTACAAAGTCAATATACCCTCTATGCATCAAGAACAAATATAATGTTTGGGCATCTCTAAAACTGATTAAGAGTATATTCTTATGCTTATACATAATATACAGTTACAATAAATTGTTATAAGAAATAAAATGGGTTATATCTATTAGTAAAATTTTGATTTCCTAGTGGGTCAAGATATAAATCTGGTAAATAACCCAAACCAAAATAGAGCAAAACAAAATAGAACATTACTTCAGAATTCCTGCTGCAGATTTTGAATTTATGGAAGAAAAACTATGAAAAGTGTTCGCAAAAAGAGAGCCAATGCTCATAGCAAAGAACAAAGTAAACCAGATCTTTTAACCTCTCTGGACAAAGGAAAACACCCAAAAATCACCCATAAATGCTTGAGATAATTGCTCCTGAGCGCTGAAAGATGGGGGAATAGTCATGTTGCTCAAACTGCAGTTGTCACCTTTGAAAGAACAATGTTTCATTTTCTAATCATACTTAGAAACTATTTATTAATGACTTTTCCACAATTAGAAATCTTTAGATCAACAAGTCTGAAAACACTGAGTATATTTGCCTTCAATCCTTGATGAAGGAAAATTAACTACTTTAAGCTTAAGAACTTAAAACAATTCTTTTAAATAAACAGTAAAGGGTAAAATATAACTTTGATTTTAAAAAATTACAAATAGGTTAAGAGTCAAGATAAATTTGATAGAAGTTTTTGGAACTAATTATAAAGAATCCATCCAATTGGAAAATGTTTTTGCTTTGAGTTTACAAAAAACATTAAAAGGTAAGATTTTAAGCATTGGACACTAGAGGTAACCAAAGATTTCAATTAAAGGAAAACACATAAACATGACTAAAAATTTACATAATGGCACAACATATTGTGACACTGGAAATACTGAAGGATACTTTTGAAAATAAAATCAGAAATTAATATCAACTATGTCAACAGTTATCTTTCCCTTTATGAATAGACTGCATCTTTAAAAATGTTATGGAAGAGCAACAGATTTTACCTCACAAGACAGATTGAGTTGAAAGTTGAAGTTATAAATGACAGGCTACAAGAACTACATGGAAACACGATGTTCTACTGGATAGTAATAAAAAAAAACCTTACTGATTTTTAATAATTAAAAGAATCAGACAAACAAAAAATCAAGAAAAATGACTTGAACATTTTTCCTATATTGCACTTACAAAATAAACTTGTTAAAGCTTTGAAAAATCTTCTGAGAAGAAAAGAAGAAATGAAAAGAAACCAAGTTCTATAACATTATTTGAAGGGACGAAAGCTTAACATTGTTCGAAGCAAATTTTCCTAACAGATTAATCAAAATCCTCACATTATGCTAAATTCAGTATGTGATGGCAGTTTTCCCACAAATAGTGGAGTTAAAAATAGATAGAACCAAGGATGTATAATAGTTAACTTGGGAGCAACTCTGAATCAAACTGAAACTGTTCTCAACTCTTTTATCCTCTGCTTGTGTTTTGCTATATAAAGAAGAGATCAATCCTGACTGTTTTTTAGAAGGCCAGATCCTGAAGATGAAACTCAAATACTTTGGCCACTTAAAGAGAAAGAAGAACTCCCTGGAGAAGAGCCTAATGCTGGGAATGATTGAGGGCAAAAGAAGAAGGGAACGACAGAGAATGAGGTGGCTGGATGGAGTCACTGAAGCAATTGGCATGAGCTTAAATGGACTCCGGCGGATGGTAGAGGACAGGAAGGTCTGGAGGAACATTGTCCATGGGGTCGCGATGGGTCAGACATGACTTCACGAAGAAGAAGAAGAAGAAGAAGAAGAAGAAGAAGAAGAAGAAGAAGAAGAAGAAGAAGAAGAAGAAGAAGAAGAAGAAGAAGAAGAAGAAGAAGAAGAAGAAGAAGAAGAAGAAGAAGTTGTTGTTGTTAATGAATCCTGCTGAATCAGTTATCTGTGTGTGCTTTCTGGATTTGATTTTCTGCAACAAACTCTGATAAAAATATAAACTGCTTTATAGCCTGCTCTTAAGACTGACTGATAATGGAGGACATGAACTAGTCTATTTTTAATTTAATTTTATTGGCATTTAAATAATTCTATAGTGAATATTGCAGGTTTTCCCCTCTGAATCCATAATCTGCTTGTCCATCCTATTAATTATAGCTGTGAGAAAATAACTGCCATCGAAAAAAAATGATTCTTTATAAAACTTTGTAGTCTCCTTTCCTGATTGGCAGGATTTTACTAGAATATTATGGAAATCTCTGCAAAGTTAAAGGCAACTTAAAGGATTATGTGCATAGAGCTGGGAGTCTGTTTTTTAGTTATAATATTACCTAATGGTATTTGGAACATACATACACACATGATAGAAGATAGAAGATAGCTAGAAGATAGCTAGATAGAAGATAGATATAGATTATGCAACATCTTGAGCTAGTAGTTAAATTTAGCCAAAATGTTTAGGATGAGGAAATATGCTACTCTTTAGGGTAATAAAGTAAATAGCATACTTCTTATACCTGAAATCTACACCATTTATCAAGTCATTCCTGATATTCTCGTAGAGCAGATATGCAGGGCCATAAATAGCTCCCAAAGCTTAAGGGTCAGCCTTTTGTGTCCTCCAAATCAAGTGTTGACTTAGAATTTTGCAATGTTTTAAATGAGGAAAATTAATTAATTTATTTTGCTGGTGCAAAGTGCCACCAATAAAACATTTTATACAAGTTTTCTTTGTATGCTGTCGATATTGTTAATTTATAATTTCTATCCCATAGCTTCTGCCATTTATCTAGTTCTATAGCATATCCAATAAATTTTGCCCATGCTATCATTGTTTCTTTAACTTCTTCTTCTAATTTAACACCTAATAAATAGCAATAGTCTTTTAATCAGCTTATCTTCCATTCCTGTTAACATTTTATCTAATTCTGTCAATAACCTGTAAATCCCTTCAGCTTTAGTATCCTTTTCATATCTTGATTGTATTTGTGTATATGAATACTGTCGTGTCCGGCGCGAAAGGAGACTCGGGAACCAGTGACTCAGTTCAGCTCATTTATTAGTCCCGAGATCGGCTCGGGTTCCGAAAGGAAAATGGCGGCTTTTATTCTCTAGCCGCGGCGGCCGCGGCCAATGGCACCGCTTTGAATCTCCCGCGATTAGTTTCTACCAATCGCGGGGGATTCGCGGTGGGCCAATCCGTGCGGCTCGCTCAGCCAATCAGCTCGCCGCGCGTCTTAGCCAATCGCGGCGCGGGTCTGCAAGAATGGTAATGACCGTGCAGAACACCCCTCCCCTCTTGGTAGGGTCCTACGTAACGTAGTCCCGTAAGTAGGCGGGGCTTCGTACTTGTCTACTTGACCTGCGCAGGTTAGTTGGTGCTTGGTTCTCGGCCGGTTCGGTTGGGTTCCGTGTTGCTCCTTGTCCTGTCGATGGAACCGTCTGGAAGTCTGGGCCGGGCCTTTTGTCGCAGCTCCCTCCTGGTCTACCCGGGCTGGTCGAGTTGCGGTTGCCGCTCCCGCCTGGTCTTTCCGGGCTGGTCGAGCTGGCCTGGCTGCTTCTTCCTGGTGAGGTGTCGAGTTGGCTGCTTGCCGGTGAGTATTCCTGGTTTCTTTCTGGTGGTGTTTGGTTTGTTGGGCCTTCCCTCCCCTCTTGGTTTGTGTTGGGGGGGTTCCCTTCTGTGTTTGTTTCTGCTTGCATGTCAGTTGTATTTCTCGTGGCTATTCTCGACCTTAGTTCGTCGATGTGTCGCTTCCATGCTCGCCCGTCGGTTGTCTGTAGGCGGTACGAGCGGGGACCTGTCACTTGGGTTATGGTTGCTGGTACCCAGAGTGGGTCTCCGGTGAGGTTTTTTGCATATACCGTGTCGCCTGTTTTAAAGGTTCGGCCTCTACTTGAGGAGTTTGGGGGCTTTTCCGGGTTGTATGTGGGGTGCAGTCTGTCGAGTGGGGATCTTAACTTCCTCCCCATCAATAGTTCTGCCGGGCTTTTATTTGTTGTTGTATTCGGGGTTATGTGTTGTATAAAGAGCATTTTGTTTATTTTTTCTTGGATTTCCCCGTTCTCTATTTTTTGGATGGTTTTTTTCGTGAATTGAACCATCCGTTCCGCCCTCCCGTTCGCCGCCGGATGTGCCGGCGCTGTCAACGCGTGTCGTATCCCCCATTCCACTAGGAATTTTTTGAATTCCAGCGAGGTAAATTGGGGCCCGTTGTTGGATACGAGGACATCTGGGAGGCCGTGGGTTGCAAATAGTTTGCTGAGTTCTTTGGTGACGGCCTCCGTGGTGGTAGTCCTCATGTTGCTTACCTCCAGCCAGTTGGAGTAAGCGTCTACCGTGATGAGGAAGGTGTGTCCTTTTGTGGGCCCGGCAAAATCTATGTGGATCCTGGACCATGGTCCCCTAGGGGTTTCCCATTCCAGGATCGGGGCGGCAGGAGGGCTGGGTCTGGTTTCCTGACATCTGTTACATGCTGCCACCCATGCTTCGATTTGCTTGTCCATTCCTGGCCACCAGGCGTAATTTCTGGCTAAGGCCTTTGTCCTAACGATGCCCGGGTGCCCCTCATGCAACAATTCCAAGACTTTTCTCTGTAATTTTCCCGGAATAACAACTCGGTTCCCCCAAAGTAAACACCCTTTTTGCAATGACAGTTCCGTTTGTCGGTTCCGGAATGTCCGGAAAGTCTCGTCGTCGTCTTTCTCGGGCCACCCCTTCTCTACCCAATGCAATACCCGCGCCAGACGTTTGTCTTTATTAGTTTCACGGGAAATGTCTGACGCGGTTATGGGTAGATCGGGCAGAGTCTCTATGCTGAGGGTGGTCGTCTTGGGTGCTGGGTTGGTGTCGAAGTCTGGTAGCGGCGTGCGGCTCAAGGCGTCTGCGTGGGAGATCGTCTTTCTGGGTCGGTGTGTGAGCCGGTAATTGTAGGCTGCAAGGAATTCGGACCACCTTGTCATTCTAGGGGATAGAATGTTTGGGGTGGCCCTGTTCCCTGCCAGGATTCCCAGCAGCGGCTTGTGGTCGGTGATGATGGTGAAGGCTCGGCCATAGATGTATTCGTGGAAACTTTTGACAGCGGCAACGATGGCCAAGGCCTCTTTGTCCAGCTGACTGTAGTTCCTTTCTGGTTTGGTGAGGGTTCGTGAGAAGAAGGCGATGGGTGCTTCCTTCCCGTCGGGGAGAGTGTGGCTGAGGACTGCGCCGACGCCAAAAGGTGATGCGTCGCATGTGACAGCTAGCGGTAGGGTCTCGTTGTATTGGATGAGGACGGCATCCGAGGTGAGCAGGTCCTTGGTTTCATTGAAGGCGGCTTCCTCGCGTTTCCCCCAAGTCCATGGAGCCGCCTTGTCCAGGAGCCTATGCAAAGGCTCTGCTGCGGTCGCCTTCTGGGGCAGGAAAACATTGTAAAAGTTAAGTAGTCCTAGAAATGCCTGTAGTTCCGTTTTATTCTTCGGTCTGGGGGCTTCCTTGATCGCTCTGATTTTTTCCTCGGTTGGGTGAATTCCGTGCCGATCAAGGAGGTACCCCAGGAACTCGACTCTCTCGGTGTGTAATTGGCATTTTTCTTTCTTAACCTTCAGCCCCGCGTTTTTGAATTTGGTTAGGACTTCCCTCAGGCGACCCTCTAGCTCCTTCTGGTTGGTTGCCGACACCAATACATCGTCGAAGTAGGGCACCACCCCCTTGATTCCTTGCAGGAGTCTCTCCATGAGGCTCTGGAATATTCCTGGGGCCACGCTGACTCCAAACTGGAGTCTCTTACAGCGGAAAGCCCCCCGGTGGGTTACTATTGTTTGTGCCTCGGCCGTTTCTGCGTCGACCGGCAGCTGCTGATAGGCTTGTGCCAGGTCGAGCTTCGCAAAGACCTTGCCTCCCCCCAGTGAGTGTAGGAGGTGCTGCACTACTGGGACGGGGTAGGCGCTTTGCTGCAGAGCGCAATTAAGGGTGGCCTTATAGTCCCCGCAAATTCTTACTGACCCATCCAGCTTGACGGGGGTGACTATGGGGGTCTCCCACCGGGCATGGTCGATTGGCTCGAGGACTCCTTGTTTGATGAGCTTGTCTATTTGCTTGTCGATTTTTGGCCGGAGCGGGAATGGTACTCGCCGTGGTTTCAGGCGAATGGGGGGAACGCTGGGGTCTAGGCTGAACGAAATGGGGGGCCCTCGGTACTTGCCTAGGGTGCCGTCGAACACTTCCTGGAAGTCTCTGGCGAGCTGCTCTTCCCAGTCGGCCTCCTGGACGTGGTCGATTCCCGTCACCTTGATTCCGAGCGGCGCGAACCACTGCAGTCCCAAAAGGCTAGGGCGATCTCGGTCCACAATCGTTAGGGGAAGCCTTGCTGTTCGCCCCTTGAAAGTCACCTCGAACTGGCCAGTCCCGACTACCGGTATACGATTTCCTTGGTAGTCTTTGATAATCAGGCTCTGGCTTTCCAGTCCCTTCCTGTGGATGGCGGGCACCAGGCGCTTTATTTCCCGCCATGCGACCATGGAAAGGTAGGACCCGGAGTCCACCTCCATTTTGTATGGCTGGCCCTCGATGCCCACCTCCACATATACTTTCCGGGCGTCTGTGCTGGAAGAGTGGCCGATAACGATCGTCTGGTGGGTTTCCTCTCTCCGCCGGTTCCCGCCGTCTCGTCGGCTCCGTCCGTCTCGGTTCCATCGGCTCTCGGCTTGGCGGTCCCTGGGCCTGGGGGCAGTGCCGTCTCGCCTCCGGTTGCTGTCATCTCATCGTCGGGGGCTGTAGTTCTTCTTGAGTCGCCGACTCGGGCGATGTGGCCCCTTTTATTGCAGTGCCGGCATATTGCGTCGAAAAACCGGCACTCTGCTCGAGGGTGGTTCGCCCCTGCACCCGGCGCACGGTTGCCCCGACTTACGACTCCATCGGTCGCGCCGGCCCCGGTCTGCCTGGAGTCGATGCACGTCCTCTTCCTCGTCGGTGGCGTCGGAGGCAGAGTCGAGGTCGCCATGGTGTGTGGTGGTCTCTCGGCAGCTTGCTTCGGGGCGCGTTTCGGGTGCCGTGCCTGCTTCGGCGGTCGCGCTTCGGTCCCCGGTGTCGGGCCTCCGCATTCGGGCTGCTGACTTCCGGGTAGCCTCGGCTGCGGTGGCGTCAGCGAGGACGTCGGCGAGGGCGATATCACCTTTGGCCATCAGCCGGCTCTGGAGGACTGGGTCTCTGAGTCCCAGGACAACGCGGTCTCGGAGTGCCTCGTCCATGTCCGTAAAGCCACACATGCCTCCGAGATTTCGTAGGGCAGCCACGAAGTCTCCGATGCTCTCGCCCGCTCGCTGGTCTCGTTGATAGAAGTCGTGCCACCGGATGAGGGTGGGCACGTCGGGGGCATAGTGGCTTCGGAATAATGGCGCAAGGTTGGCCCAGTCCATTGTCTTGACATCCTCTGGCTTCGCGAGGGCTTTCGCCATTTGGAACACTGTGGGCCCGCAGTGTGTGAGGAAAACAGCCCTTTTCTTCTGCCCATTTGCATCCTTTAGGTTGCTACTTTCGAGGAACATTAGGAATCGGTCCGTGTACTATTCCCAATCCTCAGTAGCCGGGTTAAAAGGTGCGGGCGGTGCGATGCTGGCCATCTCGTCGGTCTCGCTTCCCTGGACACGTGTACGATGGGGATCAGTCTTGGCATCCCACCTTCGTCGCCAGTGTCGTGTCCGGCGCGAAAGGAGACTCGGGAACCAGTGACTCAGTTCAGCTCATTTATTAGTCCCGAGATCGGCTCGGGTTCCGAAAGGAAAATGGCGGCTTTTATTCTCTAGCCGTGGCGGCCGCGGCCAATGGCACCACTTTGAATCTCCCACGATTAGTTTCTACCAATCGCGGGGGATTTGCGGCGGGCCAATCCGTGCGGCTCGCTCAGCCAATCAGCTTGCCGCGCGTCTTAGCCAATCGCGGCGCGGGTCTGCAAGAATGGTAATGACCATACAGAACAAATACCAATCCATTTCCAATCCTTGTTCATTCAATTCTTGTTTTGTTTTGAGCTCACCCTTTTCATTTAAAATATCTTTATATCTTGCCATAGTTCCCATTTTACAAACATTTGGATGTATAAATGCTTCCATTGTTGACAACCAGTCTGGTATCTTCATATAATCTTGTTCTCTGGTTTTTTCCCCCATGCTCGTAATAATGCATTCCTAAATATGCCTTTGAAAATACCCATGTATTTTACTTCTCCCATACCACAATAATGCATGCCAACCCATTTGCAAATCATGTCCCTCCAACATTAACAATATTTTATTCCTCAATGTTATCCATTCTTTCATCCAAGTTAATGTCATGACCTGATAATATATTTTCCAATTAGGTAACCCAAATCCTCTTCTAGTTCTAGCATCCTGTAACATTTTTACATTAATTCTTGCTTTCTTCCCTTGCCATATATATTTCAATACTATTTTATTAATATCTTCAAAGTATCTTTTCAATTTTATTGGAATTGTTTGAAACAAATACAACACTTTGGGTAAAATATTCATCTTAATTTCTGAAATTCTTCCTGTTAATGATAACTGCATATTACCCCATTTTCTAACTCTGTCTTAATTTGTTGTTTAAGCTTATAATAATTGTCTTCTTTAATTGTTCCACATCTTGCAGTCAACTGAATTCCTAAATATTTAACTTTCTTTACTATCTGAATATCTATACTCTTTGTCAATTCTTTTCTTTTTGTTTCTCTGTCATGTTTTTTGCCAATATCTTAGTTTTTCCTCTGTTTATTTTTAATCCAGCCATTTTCCCAAACTCCTCTATTTTGTTTATCAGCTCCGGTCCTGTTCCTAGAGGCTCTTCTAATATAAAAACTAAATCACCTGTGAATGCCTGTAGTTCACTCCTCTTTTCTTATTTCCATCCCTTTTATCTCCTTATCTTCCCTATAGTTCAATTTAATACTTCTAAAGTTAATAGAAACAACAATGGCGATAAAGGACACCCTTGCCTTGTTCCTTTCTCAGTCTGGATTTTTCCCATCAGTTCTCCATTAACCATTACTTTTGCATATTATTTGTAATATATTGTCTTAAACATATTAATAAATCTTTCACCAAACTCAATTTTTTCCATTTGTGTCAATATAAATTGGCAGCTCATATTGTCAAAGGCCTTCCGTGCATCTAGAAATATCAACGCCATTTGCTTTTCAGGATGTGGTTCATAATATTCCAAAGTATTTAAGATTGTCCTTATATTGTCCTTTATTTGTCTTATTCCCGAGTCTGGAAATGAAATTTAATGATATGTTTGCAAGGAAGTGTCTGTGTGTAATTATTTCCCAAGCCTTTGGGGAGGATGTGACCCTCTAATGATAATAGTACACAAAATGTTGTTTAGAAATTGAGCTTATTGGCTTGTGAAAAGTTCCCTGAAATAATTATGATGATTGGTTTAAATGGAAAAAATGGAACTTTATGTATGTGATATTGGTTTAAAGGAAATGTGTCATTGCTGTACAAATGTGAGAGTGTGATAAGCCCTGAGGCTCATAAAGCAGGTTGTTACTGAGACTTTTGTGCTAACACCCCAGAGAGAGAGATTTCCTTTTGTATAAAAGTGGCAAGATTTTGATGTTGTTGTTAAGGCAAATGCTGTATTTAAATACCCCCTGGTGGAAAAGATATTTATGGGGAATATGTGTGATTTAATAAAGCTATAGAGAGAGGGAGAAATGGAGAAAGGAGGGGAGACTTTTGTGTAGGTGAAATATTTTCCCTCCCTCTACCCCCTTCTGTCAGCTTGTTACGCAAGGACTTTTGCTTTGAAAGAAAGAAGTAGGAAGGGGGGGGTGAGACTTGTCTGCTGCTTATTTTACACATTTTTTTCTTTTCTCTGCTGAGAGGGAGGAGCATTGCTGAATATGGCAGCTATGCTGATATGCTTTCTTTCCTGCTCTGAAGTGTGATTTTGATTTTAGTTTGATTCAAATATATATTTCAGAGCAGTGACCCAAAATATCTGAATTGGATGGTTGCTTTATTTCTGATGTTTTTTTTATACACGCTGTTTTAAGGTGATTAATCAAAAAAGAAAGGATATGGAAGGAAAGAGATTAAGTCAGTAAGGCTTATATTAAGGGAGATAACTGATAATTCCCAGGTGTAAAATGGTAAAAATAAGAGAGGGTGAATTGTGATATGAAAGAAAAGCTACCAGGATGATTAGGGGACTGGAGACTAAAACATGAAGAATGGTTACAGGAACTGGGCAAGGCTAGTCTATTGAAGAGAAGGACAAGGGGAGACATGATAGCTGTCAGAATTCCAGCAGTTACTCCAATTAAATCATGAGCCTTGAGCCACATTCCCAAAATTAAAAAGGATTTATTAGAAGTTAACATTCCAGCATTAGCCTGGGTGTAGCCAACTCTGAGATACGTAATTCACTGTCACCCTTGATCCTGCTTCCCCACCCCCCACCCTCTGGGTATATCATCCAATGAAACACACCCATAGCCAAAAGTCATCAATCGTGCTCTCCAATTAGATGTTTGCACGGCAGAAGCTTCAGTCAACTAATCAGTCTCTGAAGAAAATATAAATGGGATGTACTTTTGATTCCACACTGCTGCCTGCTCTTTGAAACTCCCCTCCTTCTTTCTGTTGACAGCTATAAAACGTGTATACAAAATGTTTTATGAATTGACTCCCCTCACTTTTTGAAGGTGACCTATACAACATACACAAAAACAAATTGATTGCAGATATGAAAGCTTATGCTCATGACCCCCCACACCCAGCTTGGTTGGATTTTCTGCATGAAACCTTGCTACAAGGCTTGGACGTTCCTACTCTTTACCCATGATGCCTCTGATAAGGGGTAGCCCTTCCACTTGATTAAATATTGGAGTTGTCTCCTGTGCCACCTCAAATTGAGGATTCGCTGCACCTCATAATGAGTTTGATCTCCTATGACCACAGGATCTGGTGGCTCACAAGGTAGGAGCCTCAGCGTTGATCTGACCACGGGTTTTACTAGGCTACTATGGAATACCAGGTGTATTTTCACTAACAATCGGGGCAACTTCAATTGCACTGTGACTGGGTTGATGATCTTTACTATGGGGAATGGTCCCATGAACTTTGGCCCCAATTTCTTGCTAGGGAGTCTTAACCTCAGATATTTGGTGGAGAGATCGACCTTCTCCTCCAACTGGAATGGTCATTGCAGGGCTCGGTGTTTGTCTGCCTTTCTCTTATAGGTCTGTACCGCTTTTGCCAGTGCTTTTTTGACATTCTCCCAAGTTGCTTTCAGCATTGACATCCAATTGGTCAGGCTGACTGAGGAGGGGGGTCCCTTGGATACTCAGGCATTGGGACGAAGTCCATGCCACTCACTACCTTGAAGGGGGTTAGTCCCATGCTACTGTGAGCAGCATTATTGTACGCTACCTTTGTGAAATGCAGGAGGTCCGCCCAATTGGACTGCTGCTGTCAGCTCTTTTTTCTTTTGGTATATAGAGAGGGAGGGTTGTGATCTTGCCTGCTTCTCCCCACTTCAAAAGGCCCTGTAAAAATTCCCCTCTGTTTTGGGTGGCAGGACAGGCCATCATCAAATGGTGGCCTGTTCTGATCCCTCCCTCAGTTGCTCTATGGATCTCCCCAGGGATTCCATCAGGTACTTATCTGGTTTTCTCCCTTCCAATGAAGCAGGTTTCTTCTCTTCGGAGTTGACAAGGAGCTGACCTCCTTTTGTAATTATGCTATCAGTTTCTGTTTGCTTTTGGCTGGAAGCCAAGCTTTCTCCTGATAGCCTCTGCCATGGCTGCCTGAGTTTCTCTCCACGCACCCCAGATGTCGGGGAGCGATGGAAGAAGCCAGGACACAGGCACCCCGGTGATTAATTATGCGATTTGGCTATCTATCAGGATTCTGGCAGTTACTCCAATTAAATCAAGCTGCACTCCCAAAACTAAAAGGGATTTATTAGAAGTTAATATTCCAGCATTACCCTGGATGTAGCCAACTCTAAGATACATAATTCACTAGCACCCTTCATCCTGCTTTCACCCCCATCCTTCTGGGTGTATCATCCAATGAAACACGTCCATAGC